ATATATACTTTTTTTTTTCATCCTATCTAGGAATTTAGCCTCCCCTGCACTCCCCTCTCTGGCAACCAACAAAGGAAGTTTCTTTCCATATATAAACCTATCCTTGACTTTTTTACAATAGTGGACTAATACAGTATTTGTCCTTGTGTGATTGCCTTATTTCATTGAGCACAATGTTCTCCAAGTTTATCTACATTATGTGTTACTTTGCAGATAGTACATTATTCTTTAGAGTTGCATAGTATTCCATATTTTGGTTATCCATTCCTCAGCTGATAGGCACTTAGGATGTTTCCATCACTTTGCTATTGTGAATAGTGCTGTGACCAGCATGGGTGTGTATATATCTGTTTGTATCCTGCCTCTCACTTCTTTAGGATATGGACCTAGTAATGGCAACTACCCACATCTTATGATCCTTCATTAACTTATGATCTTTCTTTCATTACAACATTTTTTTTTTTTTTACTGATGCCTGCTCTGTGCCAGGCCTTGTGCACTGGAACACAGAGACCAAGAACCATGCACCTTCAAGGAGCTCAGAGTCTGCTTGGGGAGGCAGATGTGTACAGTTATTTGAATGCTAAGTGTGTGGCAAGTGTGATGTTGGACAAGGAATGTCCAAGATGTCGCCATCCACAGGGGAAGAGGAGACTAGTCTGGGGTGGGAGGCAGGGAAAGATTTCACTAATACTGTGATACTTACAAGGAGCTCTGGTGGTGCAGTGCCTAAGGCATCTGACTGCTAACCAGAAGGTTGGTGGTTCAAACACAGATGGGGCAATCTACTTCCCTAAAGATTTACCACCTTAGAAACTCAATAGGGGTCGCTATGACTCGGGTTTGGTCTTTGGTTTGGTGACACAGAATTCTCGGATACACGAGTAGGGGGCATTCCTGAGAAAGGGAATTACAAGCACAAAGGCACAAAGATGAGGAGGTTGGATCCCCGGAGACAGGGGGTGGCTGGAGGTGGCTTTGTCGGGGAAGCCACAGTAAGAGTGCTCCTTGTGTGACCGGCAGGCGTCTGATCGTAGATTTGCATATAGTGGTGAGGGTGATGTTTGCTAGGGCAGTGTCTTAGTCACTCCAAGGCATTGGAGTGAAGAAAGGTTTGGAACGGAAGAAACTGGAGAAAAGGAAAACAGCAAGACTAGAAAGTGACATAAGGGAGACCTGGCAGGACGTTGGTACTGTTAGGCCAAAGGCCAAAGGAGAGTTGAAATGAATGCGGATGAGGCTTCCTTCTTGTTGTTATGTGCCTCGGAGTCCGACCGACTCATAGCGACCCCTCCTTGGGTTTCTGAGGCACTATCACTGCGGATAGTAGATTGCCCCATCTTCCTTCCGAGGAGTGGCTGGTGGGTTTGAACCGCCAGCCTTCTGGTTAGCAGTCAAATACCTTAGGCACTACGCTACCAAAGCTCCCGAGGTATGCTTGTTGTTGTTGTTGTTTGCCATCCAGTGGGACCCGACTCATAGCGACCCCTCCTTGGGTTTCCGAGGCAGTATCACTACGGAAATAGATTGCCCAACCTTCCTTCCCAGGAGTGGCTGAGAGGTATCCTTAGGGGGAAACAGTTGGGTGCAGCACTGGAGTGAGAACGATCCAGGCGGTGCTTCCCAACAGGCAGCGAACAAACCCGCAGACAGCACGCCACGGTTCTCACGTTAGAGACGCCCTACGCCCTTGCCTCTTCCCGCGCCACCCACTCCAGCCTATCCTCCCCCTACAGGCCAAAACCCATCCTCCAACAGGGGCCGGCCGCTTCCGGGACCCTGCTCCGCCACAGCCAGAGATACCTACGCTCCCTCTCCTGGAACTGCCCCGCCGCCTGCTCAAGGTCCCACTCGACTCTAGGGTCACCTAGGGGAAGGGACGAAGCAGTTCAGGGCATCTCATTCCTCTGGGAGCCTGGTCGCAGATGGCACCCTGGGGAGGGACATCTCTCACCCCTTCCGCGCCGCAATGGCTTACTTGGGGAGAAGGCATTGCTAGATGGGGGGTAGAGGGTCTTCACTCCTTCCCCGCTTCCTGTGCGGTGGAGGGGCTCAGCCCAGGCCAGCCTCCTACCCCCTACTCTTAGCTCATAATCCTGGAGGAGGGGAGGGGCTGCGGGTCTCTAGTCTCGGGAAGAGGGGCCTCAGTTTCCCTGTCTCGTAGTTATGGGGGGAGGGGAGCGGGGAACGTAGGAGAAGGGTGGATGGAACTGAGAGGAGGAGACTACACTGTCCATCTTGCCCAGTTGGGGAAGGCTTCACAGATGAAGAGACCTGAATTGCATGGTGACTTGCTGTGTGCAGAGTCCAGTCCCTGGTTTCAGAGTGCACGGTGTGTCAGAGACTTGTTGGAAGGAAGGAGGCAAAGATGGGGTTGTAAAGGGATGTGGGGGTCTTGACTGTGAAGGGCCCCTGCAATGGAAACTACACGTGAGCAGGGGTCAAGTTCACCTGTTGTACCTCTATAAGAATGCCAAGGTATGTAGCAAAAGAGTTCTGGTGCCCTAGTGCCTAAGGCATTCGACAGCCAACCAGATGGTTGGCAGTTCAGACCCATCAGCCACTCCGTGGAAGGAAGACTGGGCAATCTACTTCTCCAAAGGTTTAACACCTCAGAGACCCAGAGGGGGTCGCTATGAATCGGTATTGACTCGATGGCAGGGGTTTGGTTTTAGTTTAGGCATGTAGGAAACTCACCCTCCCTCAATATTTACTGGATGAATGACAAGTAAGCAATTAGACCCAATCCTGAAGAAGAGGCTTTTAAACTGGGAAGTGATGTGGTTAGGTTGTTTTAGAAAGATTATTCTGGCAGCCAGTGTGGGGGGAAGGATCTGTAATACTGCATGATGGGTGAGGAAGGCCTGAAGAATGACAAACTGTTGGACAGGGACAGAGGGAATGGGAAGAAACAGCTGGAATCCGAGCCTGATGTAGAATCCGGAAGGGTGTGGGAGAGGACTAAGGGACGGGGTAAGATTATCTCTGAGATTGTAGACTGATGTTGTTTGATGGACAGTGTGCTACACCGAATGGGGGTGTTGCTTTTCAGTACTGAATAGGATTATAGGTACCTGTTCTAAGTGAGGGCCCTCCACTCTCATCTGTTTCACTTTCTCCAACCTACTCTAATGCTAAATTGGGGCAGCGATCTACTTCTGTAGTGATACTGCCTCAGAAACCCAAGGAGGGGTTGCTATGAGTCAGATCCGACTCAACAGCAGTGACTCAATAGCGGTGAGTTAGTTTAGTTTTTTTGTGTGCAGAATATTCAAATGAGGGTGGTTTAGGGTGGAGCTACAAGATCAAGTAACACTTTGCCTATCCTTGGAACTGTTGTAGGAGCCCTGGTGATGCAGTGGTTAAAAGCATTCAACTGCTCACCAAAAATACAGCCTTGGAAGCCCTATGGGGCAGTTCTACTCTGTCCTATGGGGTCATTTTGAGTTGACTTGATGGCAGTGGGGTTTTTGTTTGCAGCTGTTGTTGTTGTTGTATTCTAGTGGATTTCAATTCAAAGCAACCCTATAGGACACAGTAGAACTGCCCCCTAGGGTTTACTAGAAGTCAGAATTGACTAATGGCCATGGGTTTTTTCCAGTCTTTACATGAACAGATCACCAGGTCTTTTCTCCTGTCAAGCCGCTGGATGGGTTGGAACCACCATTTCTGCTTAACTGTTGAGTCACCTGTGCTCCTTTATCCTTGCAACTGTTGTTATGTGCCGTTGAGTCAGACCCGACTCACAGAGACCCCTCCTTGGGTTTCCGAGGCAGTATCACTACGGAAGTAGATTGCCCAACCTTCCTTCCAAGCAGAAGAGGGGAAAGGAAGCAGGGGCTAGTGTGCACTGAGTGGCTACTAGGCAATGGGCACCTTGGTAGATGCTTCACAGACATTACATTGTCATATTGGATCTTCTTAACACCCCCTGAGGTTATTATTAGCATGCCTATTCTACAGAAAAGGTAATGGAGATTCAGGGAGTTGATCTTACTGATGGTTACTCTTAGTGAGTAGTAGAGCTGAGACCTGAAAGCTGTCTGACACTAAAGTCAGACATAAGGTGTCTCTGAGAAAGTTAATGGGAGAACCAAGATAGAAGCAAATAAAGGTGTGCTATCAATCCAAGCCCAAGAGTCAGGTCAGCGTCCTATCCTGTGTGTTTCTCTTAATTTGTCTGTCATGTGGACCATTAAAGGGGCTAAGTTTAAAATTACACCATAAGGGTTTTAAGGCAAGCTTTAGCTTTAAACCAAGGTTAAATTCCAGCTCTAACACTTACCCAGTGTGACAACTTGAGCAAGTTACTTTGCTTCCCTGAACCTGTTTGTTCATTTGTAAAATGGGATTGTTGTGAGAATAAATGTCTATGAAATGCTGACACAGAGCAGAAACTCAATCATTATCATTATTATTATTCTAAGGATGTGTCTATTGGCTTGGATATTCCCAAGGCTTCCTTCAGAAGAGGGAAAAAGGAACAGGGGGAAAAGGCAACCCCCCTCCCAGAAGTCTCCAGTCTCCTCTAGTTCTGCATCTTATGTTGTTGTTGTTGTTATGTGCCATCGAGTCAGACCCGACTCATAGTGACCCCTCCTTGTTCCTTGTGGAAATAGGTCACAGTCAACACAGTGAGAGAGACTAGCAGTCAGTCCAGGGAAGCCAGGGCTGCCTCTGCTCTGGTGACCAGACTGAAGTGTAACTCAAGGCACTGGGGAGCAACTTCAGCAAGGTGAAGAGGAAAACGATGTTGCACTTCTCTTTGAGTAAAATACATTAGCAAGAGGTTTTGGCTCTAACGGAATCCAATGAGTTACAAGAATCATTTCCATTATGGCCTAATAAGAGCACAGCAGGAACATGTTAATAACAATTAAAGGTAATGAGAAAGGGACCCTGTGGTTTTTTTTTTTTTTTTTACAATCATGTAGATTTTTTTGGGGGGGGGGTATCTTATAGTATTTAAAATGTTTAAACATCAACGCCCCTCCTGCCAGAAGTTTCCAGTCTCCTCTAGTTCTGGATTTTATGTTGTTGTTGTTGTTGTTATGTGCTGTGGAGTCAGACCCGACTCATAGTGACCCCTCCTTGGGTTTCTGAGGCAGTATCACTACGGAAGTAGATTGCCCAACCTTCCTTCCGAGGAGTGGCTGGTAGGCTTGAACCGCTAGCCTTCTGGTTAGCAGTCAAGTGCCTTAGGCACTACGCTACCAGAGCTCCCACAGGAAGTAGAAAACAAGAACAGTCAGGTTAGGTTATCTAGACTTGTGCTGTCTACTAGGGCAACCACTAGCCACATGCACTTGAAACGTGGCTAGTCCCAACTGAAAACCAAAGAAAACCCACTGCCAATGAGTCAATTCCAACTCATGAGATGTATGTAAAATACACACCAGAGTTTGATCTTAATTAAAAAGAAAAAACATATACAACTCACTAACAAGCTTTCAGTTGTTGAAATACTATTTTGGATATCTTGTATTAAATACAATGTCTCATTAACTTCACCTATTCCTTTTTACTTTTTAAAAACGTTTTTATTGTTGATTTGGGTGCAAATTTACAAAGGAGTTTTTATTGTTGATTTGGGTGCAAATTTACAAAGGAACTCTAAATAGTTCATGCACATTTGGTTTCACGGCACCAATTACAATCCCAACAATAAAAAGCTCTCCTCCCAGTGACTATCTCCTCCCTGTGCCCTTCTTATCTATGCATTCCTGTCTGTCCAGCTTTGCATCTATGCAAATGATGCCCTTCTGGTCTCTCATGGCCGACTGATCTAAGAGGTGCATCTCCCTAGGGTAGGTGGGTGCATCTCCCTGGGGTAGGTGTTCTCCTTGTAGGCCTTTCTACTATTTGGCTGAGAGCTAATGCACATAATGAGTCTAGTCCCAGGCCAGAAGGATAACCCAGGGGTTCCACCAGTCTCTATCTGACCAGTAATTCCGATCATTTTTGTGTCTTTGAATTTTGTTTCACATTTTTTCCTCCCACCCTATCCAGGATCTCCAGTTGTGATCCCATTCCAAGTGGTGGGCATTGGTAGCTAGGCATCATCTAGTTCTTATGGTTTCAGGGTCATGAAGGCTAAGGTTCCCATCACCCATCAGATCTTCGGACTAATTGTTTCCATATGATGTTGATTTTCTTCAGTCTTCTTTGTGTCAGATGAGGGGAGACCAATAGTTGCATTTTAGATGGCTGTCTGACAGCTTTTAAGACCCCAATTGTTACTCACCAAAGTAGCACATAGAACAAGAATTTTATGTACTATGTTGTGTCAGTTGAGCTTGATGTCCTCCAAGACCATGGTCCTCAGCCCACAGGCCTGGTGACTTACTCCCTCAAGGTGTTTGGTTATCACTGAGAAGCTACTCCCAATCTTGTCCCATGTTAGTTCTAAAATATATATGGATTTTTTTTTTTTAGCTCAAATACACATTTCAGAATACCATCAGCCGAATCTATCTGTGGTCATAGGTATACTCCCATTTGCCTACCCACACCTGATCTTCTCACCTGTCTATGCATCCACCCAAAGACTAGCATTTGCTGTAACTGGTAGTGCTGTATTGTATATGTAATAGCTTTTGTCTGTATCTTTGGTGCACATTTGTGTCCTCCTTTTCCCTGTTGTCGTTGTGCTTGTCATACTTTGTTATATTGCCTTCCCCTTCATCCAAATCAATCCATGATTCTTAACTAGACAGAAAATTTCCCTTCTCTTCCTTCCCATCACTGGTAACCAACAATGTAAATTTCCTTCCCTGCGTAACCCTTTGACTTTTTATAAAATGGACTCATACAATAGTCATCCTTCTGATTGGCTTATTTCACTTAGTATAATGTCCTCTAAGTTCATCTACGTCTGAGGTGTTTTGCAGACTCTTCCTTATTCTTTAATGTTACGTAGTATTCCATTGTGTGAATGTATCATAGTTTGGTTATCCATTCATCTGTTGATGGGCACTTAGGTTATTTCTCCTTTTTACTTTTTAAACATAACTAGAAAATTTAAACGTATGCGGCTCACATTAAATTTCTCTTAGCCACAATGACTAGAGCCTTTGCAGGATGTAAGTCAGCACAGAACTACAGATGTCGATCCACTCATCCATTCATATTTGAGTATTGGTTATGTGGCAGGCTTTATTTTAGGTGCTAGGAATATAGGGGGAAACAAGATAAACACCGCTCCCGTCCTTACAGAGCTGTCTAAGTATGTCAAGTA